TGAAGTGTGAGGACGGACAGCTCAGCGTGGCGGTGGACCAGCGCATCCTGCAGGTCTTCATACCTCAGTGGTAGATAGAGTGCAAACGAAAAAGACAGAAGCCGGATTCCCACCTTATTATTGTCAACGCAGCAGATTTACGACGATATGTCATCCAGCATCAGGCAGTACATTAAATCATAAGTACAAATTTAAAAAAAAAAAAAAATAATAATAATGTTATTGTATGCTACCTGTCCAGCACTAAAATGCTAATCTAGTGGAACATATCACAGTTAGATTGATGTTTTCTCAGGGGCTAAACAAATCAAAACACAACTGAACTTTGGAGTAATTTGATGTCATGAACTCCCCAGAAAACAGAACAGGTGGACACAATTGCACAACACAGCTAGGTTCAGGCAAAAAGACAGGTTTATTTCCAGGATTCGGTGCACAGGTGATCAGTCGATAAAACAGAGGTGTCCAGAGACGAGAGGCAAAAAGGCAAGGTCAAAGGCAGAAAACGAGGTCGTACACAAAAGACTATAGACTATGAAATGCTGAGACGAGGGCCGTGAAGTACAACGAACTGGCAACAAGACTATGAGACACACAGGGTAAAGTACAAGAGGTAATGAGGGAAGATGGGAAACAGGTGAGGGGAACAATCAGGGAGCAGGTGTGACGAGGCCAGGGATGGTCGTGCAGGAAGTGAACCTAAAACAGAGACAACAGGTCAGTGATTTCAAAATAAAACAGGAAAAACAAGACATGAAATGTGCAAAAATAAAACAAAAACTTGACGGACATGACATTTGACTGTGAATGCTGCTCCTGTCATGCATCACAACTTCACATGAAAGTGGCCAAAAAAATCAATTAATGTAGGTTCAAGAAAAACAGCAGCAAAAGCAATTTGTCTTCAATTCAAGATGTCAGCTGAGGAAACGTTTGGTTGATCATCGTACACCGATCAGCCACAACATTAAAACCACCTGCCTAATATGAAGCTTGACACCAGAACCAGGTTCACCAGCAGATCATCGCATTGCAGCAACATTATCAGTGTTACACTTCACTCGTCAGTGGGTTTAACGTCATGGTGTTTGTGCTGGAGTTGCACTGTTATGATATGTAGTCTGCTGTATCGGACCGTTTAATCTGGTTCTTACATGTTCCATGGCCTCATCT